CATGCAAAAGCATTAACTTCCAATTAAAATCTTTATCTAGTGAAGTAGTTTTACAAAAACAAATTACCAATTAATTACTTTCCTAACTTTAAAATAATTAAAAGCCCCTTAAAATTGCGATCGATGAAATGGAAATTATGCATGAAATTGATTTACATCTTATGTGACATATAGTTGTGAATAATTTTAATTCATTTATCATTCAATAATTCACTTTTTGAATAATTATATAAACAATGTGAAAATACAAAATGGTGAAACTTTTTTTGTTTCTGGTATGAGAAGAATAAATCCTTGATGATATGAGAGCAAAAAGACTCTAATGGATAAACATATTCGAAGTCAATCTTCATAATTCTTTGGTGTAAATTGAATTTAAGTCGAATTCAAGAACTATACTGCTTTTTCGAGAACTTGAAGATCTATACTGCCACCATACTCCGGCGTTCACTTTCTCATTCGGTATTTCTCCGATTCCGAACACAATCTCCCGTCAAAATATCCGATCAGAATCTCCCATCACAAATTCTCCGATCGAAAGATGATGTTCTTCTCTACTGTGAAGAAAACTTGCTCTGTACTCGGTAAGAAAGAATTGACAACGGGGAAAATTCACTCGCAGCGATTCACAGGACTACGATGATCATGGGGTTTTCTTCCATCTCGGAAGTTTCAAAACCTCTCCAGGATAGTTGGTAAGGGATCGTTTTTTGATGATTTATGCTTCATTGACAAACGAATCTTTCCCTTTCTTCGAGAACATAGAGATTTCTCCGGGTAATTTGTTGGCTAGTCTCTGTAGAATATATATATTATCTTATAAACGAGTATGCAAATAATCTTTGTTTAGCCCTAGACTCCTCTTGTATCGCTACTATAAATATTCTTTATACTCCCGTTCAAAGGAATATCAGTAACCAGAAGCTTGATGATTTCTCTTTTTTTTTAAGGAACGATCATGCATACTTTGTACAGCTCCTAGAGAAGAAGATAAAAGTTGCAGAAGCTAGAACTGTTCGTTACCTGCAAGAATACATGCGAGTCTTGTCAAGAAAGGCATCAAATCTGACCAGGTCTACGGGAAACTACTACGCCTCTATGGCTCGGCTGAACGTTTCTTCTGGGATTGCTACTACTCCAATTCTGCAGGTTTAGGCGTTTACAACTCTGCAATAGTGACTATGAGATCATCTTTTGGCCAGACAGATATTCGAAAATATTCCTAGGTCTTTGGTGAAAACGCAAGCGACATATTGGAATGCCATGGAAGCATGTAATCATTCTCGGGAATCTCATTTCATACTTAGGATCATTTTAGAGTCTAGGATCTATTTCTTTGCATTTTGTGCATTTTTTATTCCTTTTTAGGTACTTTGGAGATATTGGAGTAAGTTGGAGACAAATAGGTTAGAAGAATTGATCAAATGGGCAAAACACATGCAGAAGAAGTCCAAATCGACTCAAAGATCATCTCTGTTGAAGGTCTTCCCTTGATCGTCTTAATCTGATATTTTGTGAGCTGAAAGGAAATTGAGTTAGCTTTCCAATGGAGGTGGTTTCAATTCATTTGGAGCTGTATTGCGAAAGTTATGGAAGATATAGTGAAGACATGTCCGTCTGGCGAGCAAATGAAGCAAGTGCAGAGTATAGCACCAGATCGATCGATCCGATTAAAATGATCAAAACATCGGGCGTTCCACGGCTCAACCAAGAAAATGCGGATCGATCGATTTTAACAACTGGATCGATCGATCCACTCGCCAGAACTGCACAAAAATGACGAAAAATCAGCTCTCCTAATCCCACTTTATTTGGTCAAAACGTGTTTTGGTGTGATAAAAGAGGGGTTTTCCCAATTATTGCAGGAGACTTTCATTTTTTCATGTGTTTTAGCTTAAGACTCTCCTTGAGAGAAGATTTGGAGATTTTCTTTGGTGTTTTAAGATCAAACTTTCTTTAATGATTATGTGCTTGTAATTGGATCTTTGTGCTTAATCTAGTGAAGGTTTCTTAATCTTTATAATTTTCTCTT